CAAATAAACACAATCAGAAATACAAAAGATCATATCACAATGGACCCCGAAGAAATACAAAAGATTATCAGAGATGACTATGTACACCTATATGGAAACAAATTTGATAACTTAAATGAAATGGAGGACTTTCTGACATCACACAACCTGCCTAGGTTGAAACAAGAAGACATTGAGACATTAAATAGACCAATAACAACCCAGGAAATTGACTCTGTCATATGAAAACTACCTACCAAAAAAAGCCCTGGACCAGATGGCTTTCCAGCAGAATTCTACAAAACGTACAAGGAGGAGCTGATACCAACCTATTGAAAATATTCCAGGTAACTGAGGAAGATGGAATTCTCCCCAAATCATTTTACAAATCTAACATCACACTGATACCCAAACCAGGTAAAGATACAACAAAAAAAGAGAACTACAGACCAATATCGCTTATGAACATAGATACAAAAATCCCCAACAAGATTCTAGCAATCCTGGCTTCATCCCCAGGATGCAGGGCTCGTTCAACATTTGCAAGACCATAAATGTAATTAAGTACATCAACAGATGTAAGAACAAGAACCACATGATTACATCATTAGATGCAAAAAAGGCTTTTGAGAAAATCCAGCCTCCCTTCTTGATAAAAACCCTCAAACAAATAGGTATAGAAGGAACATATCTCAAAATAATAAATACCATCTACGATAAACCCACAGCTAACATATTGCTAAATGGATAGAAACTGGAAACATTTCCCCTGAAAACTAGAACAAGACATGGCTACCCACTCTCATCCCTCTTGTTCAACATGGTGTTGGAAGTCCTAGCCTGGGTAATTAGACAAGAGAAGGAAATCAGGGGTATCCAAATAGGAAAAGAGGAAGTCAAGTTATCCCTCTTTGCTGATGATATGATCCTATACCTTGAAAATCCAAGAGAAACTGTCAAAAACCTGCTTGCACTGATAAAGGACACTGATAAAGTCTCAGGGTCCAAAATAAATGTGCAAAAGACAGTTGCATCCCTGTACACCAACAACAAGCAGGCAGAGACCCAAATTAAAAGCATGATCCCATTCACAATAGTCACACACAAAAATGAAATACCTCAGCATCTTCCTAACCAGAGACATGAAAGAACTTTACAATGAGAACTACAAAACACTGTTCAAAGAAATCCAAGAAGACACAAACAAATGTAAAAATATTCCAGGCTCAAGGATAGCAAGAATCAACATTGTTAAAAGGTCCATCCTACCAAAGGCAATCTACAGATTCAACACAATTCCCATTAAGTTACAATATCATTCTTCTCAGACCTGGAAATGACAATACAGAAATTCGTATGGAAACATAATCATCCATGAATAGCCAAAACAATCCTTAGCAAAAGAAACAAAGCAGGAGGTATCACACTCCCAGTCTTCAAACTTTACTATAAGGCTACAGTAATCAAAACAGCCTGGTATTGGTACAAGAGCAGGCATATAGACCAATGGAATAGGATAGAGATTCCAGAAGCAAAACCTTGATTTCTCAACCAACTCATCTTTAACAAAGCCTCCAACAACAACCACTGGAGAGAGGAGAACTTATTCAGTAAATGATGCTAAGAAAACTGGCTGATCACATGCAGAAGATTGAAACAGGACCCCTACCTATTACCATACACAAAAATTAACTCTAAATGGATTAAAGACCTAAATGTAAAACCACAAACTATGAGAATCTTAGATAATACAGGAGACACTCTTATGGAAATTGGAACTGGCAACAAATTCCTATTCAGAACCCTAAATGCCCATACCTTAAGAAATAAGATAGACAAGTGGAACCTCATCAAACTAACGAACTTCTGCAAAGCAAAAGAAACCATCAAGAGAGCAGGGAGACAGACCACAGAATGGGAAAAAAATATTTGCCAACTGTATATCTGACAAAGGCCTAACATCTAGGATCTACAAGGTACTCAAATGTGCCGAAAGGAAAAAAACAAACAGCCCCATTAAAAAGTGGGCAAAATACATGAATAGACAGTTCTCAAAAGACGATATATGGGCAGCCAACAGACACGTGAAAAAGTGTTCAGCCTCACTCATCATCAGAGAAATGCAAATCAAAACCACACTGAGATACCACCTAACCCCTGTAGGAATGGCCATCATTAATAAAACAAACGAACAACAGATGCTGGTGAGGATATGGAGAAAAAGGAACACTTCTACACTGCTGGTGGGAATGCAGACTAGTGCAACCTCTTTGGAAGACAGTGTGGCGATTTCTCAAAGAACTAGAAATTGACCTTCCATGAGACCCAGCAATTCCTCTATTGGAAATATACCCAGAGAAACTCAAATCATTCTACAAAAAAGATACCTGCACACGTATGTTTGTTGCAGCTCTATTCACAATAGCAAAAACATGAACCAACAATGTTGGCCAATGAAGCTGGGCTAGATAAAAAAAATGTGGCTTATATATACAATGGAATATTATACAGCCATAAAGAAGGACAAACATATGAACTTCACGGCAACTTAGAAGGATTTAGAGTCAATCATACTCAGTGATCTATCACAGAAACAAAGAACAGAGTACCATATGTTCTCACTCATAAGCAGACCTTGAACAATTATAATACTTTAAGAAAGGGATTGGCAGTAGTGGGAAACTGTCAAGGGTTGGGGGTGAGATTGACAGTTCAGGGAAACTGCTGGGGAGGGAGTGGGCACACCTCATCAACAAAGGTATCTGCGTAATCAACTTGTGTATATCTAACCCTGAATTGTAGCCCACATCTTTATAATGAAATAAAATTTTTAAAAAACTTGAGCCTCTCCTTTTTTGTCTAGTGCATTCTCCAAGACAACCTGGGAGTGTGTCCCAACCCGTAATCTTCAACTTGGATCCAAATAAACTCTATTAATTTTGCCTCAGCTTCTTCCTTTTAGATGGACACATCAAATGTGTCAACCTTCCTTTCCTTTACAGTCAATGCTCTGTGAAAATAAATAAAATGTAAAAGCTATTAGAACCCCCCAAAAACACTCTAAGCCTTGAGAGAGATGTGACTGTGACCTGAGCCACATGCAGATACAGCTTCTGTTCTCAGATAATAGATGAACTCAATCTCTTATTATTCTTGTTCTATACAATGACTAGAGAGAATTAAATGATTTCAGGGACAAAAGTCTCCTGCCTTCTTAAATGGTGACCTTTGTTGTAGATTAATTTCCCCTTTGTTCTGTTTTGCTTAGACCAGATGACAGAAAAACCATGATTATTACACTCTCTAAAAAAAAAAAAAAAAAAAAACCGTTCAAAGTATCCTTCCCAAACACTGCTTATAATCAATCAAGTTGCTGTAACTATGTGCCAACCTTGTATAAATAATGTCGTAAACCTGCTAAAAACTCCTCTGTCTCTGCCTATATAAACAAAACCATAACTTTCCCACTTCAGAACACTGATGCCATTTCTTGGAGGTGGTGTTTCCAGGTGGTTCATCCTCACACTTTATGCTTGAATAAGCTCTTTTAAAATTAGATTCTGACTCTTTTGATTATTTTAACGTTTTCTTTCATAAGTCTTGGGGCACCAAGATCCCAAAAATACTATTCTATATTGTTTTCTAAAATTGTTACAATTTTGTCTTTTATAACTAATTCTAATTTTTACAAAAATTCATGGTGTGTGTATGTGACTGAGAGAGAGAGAGGGAGAGAAGGAGGAGAGGAAAAAAATTGGATGAGGTAAGGAATACAAACTTATTTGTATCCACATGGATATGAAAGCTAAGATTTGTTTGCTTGATTTTAAAGATGGAGTCATGCTATGTTGCCCAGGCTGGAGTGCAGTGGTGCCATCATAGCTCACCACAGTCTGGAACTTCTGGACTCAGCCTCCTGAATAGCTGGGACTACAGGCACTTGCCACCACACCTGGCTTGGGGTTATTTGGTTTTTAACACTAACCTGTTTCTGTGTATAATGACTCATTGCTATTTAATGACTAGCTCCTCCTTTGCCAGTTATCTCTACTACGTCAAGTTTTTATCAATAAATATGGGTCTCTATTCTGTCTCACTGGTCAGATTGTCAATGCTAAGACCAACGTTACACTATCTCAATTCTTATAGCTTTATAATAAATGTTAATATATAGAAGGAGGAAAGCCCAGATCTACCATATTTTTCTTCTTTAGGGGTATCTTGACTATTTTTGGGTCATAATCATTCCATATACATTTTAGAGTCAGTTTGTCAAGCTCATTGGAAAAGCCTGTAGGATTTTTGTTAGAATTTTTTTGAATATGTAGATCAACTTATCTACATATTCAACAAGGGACCCACGGAGGCTGCCACACTTTTTCTCAAATACCTGTTGGAGCTCCAGGAGGAAGGCTGGGTCCCTTGTTGAATATGTAGATCAATGTAGGGAGAACTGATATTTGTATGATGTGAATTCATATGATATTTTCTCCACATAGGATTTCTTTAATATCTTTCAATAACATTTTATCATTTTCTCCATTCAGACTTTATATATCTTTTGTTAAATTTATTCATAAATGTTATAATTTTTGTTACTATCATAAATGGTATTTCACTTTGGATTTCATTTTCCATTTGCTTCCAGTGGATAGAAATGAAGCTAATTTTTGTATACTGATTTATAGCCAATAATCTTGCTAAACTCTTCCATTAGTTACAATAACATCTCTGTAGATTCCTTTGAATGTTTCAGATAGACAATTACATCATCTGCCCAAAAATAGTCTTTACGTTGCCTCAAACTAAGAGGCATAGACTATTAGTGGATAATTCAAAATTAATAGCTTTTTACTTTTATAGTATTCTCAAACATCAAAGTGATAGACTCCGACTTGTGAGTAAGAAGAATGAACCGGGCAACCCTCTTTCAGGTCCCCTCCTGCTTGGGAGTTCTTCTGTCTTCTTAATAAACTCCTTCTTTCTCGCCCAAAGCGGGGAAAAAAGGAGAATGAACTAACCTGCGTGGGCTAGGGCATCCAAAAATCCACGGAACCAGCCTTCCTCCTGGAGCTCCAACAGGTATTTGAGAAAAAGTGTGGCAGCCTCCGTGGGTCCCTTGTTGTTTCTTTCAGCCTGAATACACTGCACTTCATCTACAAACAGAAACAAGAATGACTCATCAGACTGCAGAACTACTAATTATTGGGGGAAAAAACCAGAATAGGAATGCCAGATCTTCCTGAACGAAGATAGGGATTGTAACAAGTCACAGCATCAGAAGAAAATTGAGGGAAGCAGTAAATTCTCTGCCCAGGCTGACATGCCCATTTTTCACCAATCTACCCTTCTCTGGAAACTTCCCTGGAAGTTTCTTCTAGTTTGGTGTGGAAGTCTGAGAACACACTCTAGAAAAGGAGTTTCTTCGAGATATGTGAAAAAGTTTCCCTACAACAAGGGAGAAGTTATGGTAGGACTGGATTAGGTGGAAGAACAAATGTTTCCTCTGACATTTTTTGTTCAAAAGGTTTTATTGACTGCTGACCTAAAAAAGTGTGAAGACAGGCCAGGCACCTTGGCTCATGCCTATAATCCCAGTACTTTGGGAGGCCAAGGTGAGAGGGTTGCCTGATCCCATGGGTTCAAGACCAGCCTGGCCAACTGGCCATGGGTTCAAGACCAGCCTGGTGAGACTGCATCTCTACAATAAATCAAAACATTATCCGGGTGTGGTGGTGTGTACCTGTAGTTCCAGGTACTTGGAAGGCTGAAGTAGAAGGCTCACCTGAGACCAGTAGGCCAAGGCTGCAATGGCCGTGAGCATGCTATTGCACTCCAGGATAGGTGACAGAGTAAGACTCCAACACACACACACACACACACACACACACACACACACACACACAAAATGTGAGGACAAGACCATTCCATGGCATCAGTAACAATGATAGTGGAGTCAAGCACAGTTAAAAATAAAAGGAATCTGAATTGTACTCCATATCTTTAAAATAAAAAAATTTTTTTAAATAATCAAAGCTAAGATTTAAAAACATTTTTTTTAAAGAAATATTTTCTTTTTTTTTTTTTTTTGAGTCAGAGTCTCACTCTGTCAGCCAGGCTAGAGTGCAGTGGCACACTCACGGCCACTACAGCCTTGACCTGCTAAGCTCAGGAGATCCTTCTGCTTCAGTCTTCCAAGTAGCTGGAACTATAGGCACATGCCACTGCATCTGGCTAATTTTTTTATTTATTGTAGAGATGAAGACTTGCTAAGTTGCCTAGGCTGGTCAATCACATATAATACTCTGGAAAGCATCTTCCTGGGTATTTAATTATATATATAAAGATACTGTTTTAAATAAATAGGCTCCTACAATTCTGCCCTTTTTCATTAATAAATTATAGATGTTGCTTTCCATCAATAAATATGAATCTACATCAACTTTCAGAGGCTATAGTGTTTTATGACACAAAAATGTACCATAATTTAATCTATTTCTCATTAATAGGTAACTAAAATGTGTTTAGTACAGACACATCTATGCCTTTACTTGCTTTAACAAGTTTTCCTTAGAATAAGTTCTCAGAAATATAATTTCTGAGTTTAATGGTACACACTTTTAAATGTTGATACAAATGTCCAGCTGCCTTCCAGGCAAACTACTAATTTACCCTCCATCAACAGTGTATAAATATCTATTGAACTTGTTCAATCTTCATAACCTTTGCAAAACTAAGAGAGAAAATCAGACCAAACAAATTTCTTTTTTTTGGAGAGAGAGGGTCTCGCTGTGTTGCCCAGGCTGGTCTCAAATTCCTGACCTCTCCTGACATCAGGTGATCCACCCACCTTGGCCTCCCAAAGTGCTGGGGTTTCAGGCAGAGAGCCACCACGCCTGGCCAGACATCATTGCTCTTAGTTATTTCTTGTGGGTTTGCTTCCTCCTTTAGCCAGTATCTTTTTTTTTTTAAATAAATTTCCTGCTCATATCTCACAGTCAATTTTCTGTTAAAGTCATTCAACCTTTTTCTGAACTGGATTTGTAAAAATCTTTTATGCATTTGGGGAAATGTTATATCTTCTAACTTATTTGGTATATGAAAATGTTATTAGCTTTTATGTAACTATTGCGACAAGACTGAATGAACTCTACTAGTTCCAAAAATTTGGGGGAATTGGTTTCTGTTCTTTATTTTGGCCAATTTGCTCTCTTGGAGTTATCTATTTGTTCTTTTAGCAATTACTTGAATCAAATAAGTTAATTTACTAGTTTTCATTGTTTTGAAATACCAATGAATCTATTTCAGCTATAAATTTTACTCTGATTAAAAGTCTAGCTATATTCTTAAAATATGTAATGTGTAGGCCAATTGCTATCCTTACTTTTGAAAGTGGCTATAATTGTTTAGATTTTCTTTTTCCACTAGGAATTATTCAAAAGAATGCTATTTTAAAATTATTTGAGCTAGGTACAATGTCTCACACCTGTAATCCCAGCACTTTGGGAGGTGAAGGCAAGAGGATTGCCTGAGCCCAGGGGTTTGAGACCGGCCTGGGCACTTGGCAAGACCTTGTCTCTATAGTAAATCAAAAACTTGACTGGGCATGGTGGCATATCCCTGTAGTCCCAGATACTTGTAAGGCTGAGGCTGAAGGATTGCCTGAGCCCAACAGGTTGAGGCTGCAGTGGTCATGTGCATGCTACTGCACTCCAAGCCTGTATGACAGAGTGAGACTCCGACTCAAAAAAATAAATAAAATTATTTGATAATATTTTTAAATCAATGATTAATTTCTGGGATATAGAATAATAGCTAATATTAACTTAGTGTGAGGCACTTTAACTCTTAAAACACTCAAACATGATTGTTATTCTCATTTCACAGATAAAAAAACTGAGACACAGAGAAGTTAAGACATTCACCCAGAATTACAGAGGCTGTAAATTAGAGAATAAAACTCATACAAATTATGCTTTGGGAATTTAGTATAAGTTTTTCTGTAGCTAATATAGTATCCACTTGGCAAATCTCAAGAATCAGGAGAAGAGGATATAGTCACAATGTTGAAAAAGAAAAAAAACCAACATATAACCATTAAACAAACTTCATCACATTAAACCAATCACTTACATCTTTATTATCATTTATCTGGCTTAGCAATACTCATAAGAATGTTTTACAATTCCCACATTCCTTAACTTCTAAAAGTTTTTTCTTATATTTAGTAAACAGATTTGTTTATATCAAATCTTCATTGTGATCTCTTAATACTTTTATGTTAATACTTTCTGCCTGTGCAATTTTTAAGTATTAATATCATAACTCTTGCTTTCTTTTCATCTGCATTCATTTAATACACCTTTGTTCCTTCTTTATTCCTTTTTTAGAAATTTTGATTTTTTTTTTACTGCAGATGGGTCTCTGACAGACAATAAAAACCTAGATTCTGCTACTTGATTTAAGGTTATTTAAAAGACATTTGACCTAATTACACGACCATAACTGATGTAACTAATTTTCCTTGTATTATCTTGTTTTATACTTCCCTTTTCTATATATTCTACTTAGCTTAAGTTAACTAAATATGTTTTTTCTTCTCTAGAACAAAATGGATATAATGTCCTTTAAATTATTGTATCATTATCTTGAATCATTCAGACAGCATTTTTAACTATAGAAGCAAGAGGAAAATAGTATCGTTCAAGTATCCCCCCTTTTGAGGTAAGGAATTTAACACACATTTATCATCATTTTCCCGAGTTCCTTACAGACAAAGTTTTTTTTCATCCAAATTACTACTTTAAAATTGTTATTTTTTAAGTCTTTAAGTGTTTGACTATTGCATTTATTTTTATAGCCAGATTTATAAAATTATTTAAAGTTAACACTACATGCCTGGTTTTGACATTCCTCACAAATCCTTCAATTATAAGAACTCCCTTTATTGAGCTATTAATTTTTTTTCAGTTCTCACTGTTTGAGATGTTTCAAGTAATTTCATAAGAAAATTTATATAAGATTCCACATATACAATAATGATTTTCTCTAGTTTACACACATAAAAACTTGGCTGGATATAAAATCGGGGGACTTTGTTTTACTTTAAAAAAAATTTTTTTTTTGAGTTGGAGTCTCACTCTGTCACCCAGACACACCACAGCCTCGACCTGCTGGGCTCCGGTGATCCTTCCGCCTCAGCCTTCCAGGTAGCTAGAACTACAGGCGCGCGCTACCACGCCCAGCTAATTTTTCGATTTATCGTAGAGATGAGGTCTCGCCAAGTTGCCCAGGCAGGTCTCGAACCCACGGGCTCAGGCAATTCACTCACCTCAGCTTCCCAAGGCACGGGATCACAGGATGAGCCACCGAGCCCAGCTTTTACTTCTAGAGTTCTACCCACAGTTACTGTCTAGTAACATTAGAGTTATAGAGAAGTCAGAGAACAACTTGATTTTGACTCCATTAGCAGAAACCCGAGCAACTGTATTTATTTTTCCCAAATGTATATATGATTATTTTCTTCATCCCAGAAGTATGAAAATCCTACCAGTATGTAAAGACATGATTTCTTTTTCATTGAACTCACACACAGAATCCTGTTTCTTTCTTAGATAAGAACAATTTTCTTCCATTTGTTCCGTTTATTTTTGTCTTCTTTATTGGAACCTACATTGTACTCAAATTGTATCGTCTAGATTTGTAATTCAGCAATCATGTTTTCAAAAAGAACTGCCCGCATTTACTTTCTCCACTTCCTTACCTTCTACTTATTCCTCAGTGTGCCCTTGCAATTAGTTTCCCAACCATCTTATACCTTCACCATCACTCCACAGAAATTGCTCCTGTGGGTGGCCCCAAAAGTCTATAAAGCCAAAGTCAAAGGAATGTTTGTTTCAGCTCTGATACAGTTTGAGTTTTCGGTATCACTCAATGATGTTATCCACTGCTTTACTCTCCCTTGATTTTCTTTTTCTTTTTTCTTCAGTCAGAGTCTCACTCTGTGGCCCAGGCTAGAGTGCAGTGGCGTGCTCACAACCACCAGAGCCTCGGCCTGCTGGATTCGGAGGATCCTTCTACCTCACACCAGCTATTTATTTATTTAGCTAACATTTGTTTGTTTGTTTGTTTTAGAGACCAGGTCTCACCAAGTTGCCCTGGCTGGTCTCAAACCCCTGGGTTCAGGCAATCCTCTTGCCTCCACCTCCCAAAGCCACCTCCCAAAGTGCTGGGATTACAGCCGTGAGCCGCTGTGCCAGGCTCTCCCTTGGTTTTCATGACACCTCCTTGCCAGCATATCTGGCTGCTCTTTTCTCTTTCTTCCTCTGCTCATCTCTTAAATGATGGACTTTCTCAGGATTCTGTCCCAGGCTCTTTCTACTCACCCTCCAATGGGCAATCTCTCCCACTCTCATTGCTTCAGCACGGATCTCCAAGTGAATGACTCCCCAACCCTAGACCTTGTTCCTGAACTGCAGACTGATGCAGCCAAGAATCTGATGAACCTAAGGCACACAAATCCAACATATCTAAATCTGAACCCTTCACCTTCTCCTGCAGACTTGTCCCTCCTCCCATGTTTCCTATCTCAGACACCATCATTCATTCACCCAAGAGTCAATGCCAGAGACTTGGAAGTCTTCTCCATCTCATCCTCACCAACTCACCCTCCCCCTGCCCAGTACCCCACCAAGAGTCTCATTGATTATACTTCCAAATGTCTCAAATCCATCTACATCTCCCCGTTCCTCTAGATTCGTGTTCTCCTAACTGGTCCCCACTCCACTGTCTTGGCATCTTTGCACTTTCTATTCCCTCTCTCCCTAACTTGTACCTACCCTACCCAATCCATTCCTCAAACTGCAGCCCAAGTCATTTTTCTACAACAATTTTGTCCCTTATCCTTGTAATGTTTCAGTGGATAAAGCCCAAAACCATTGATATCCTATTTCTGCCTGTCTCTCAAACCCCATCTCTCTCTCTCTCTCTCTCTCTCTCTCTCTCTCTCTCTCTCTCCCTC